TTTCCTGACTTGTTAATTTTAGCCATTCTGACTGGTGTGAGGTGGTATCTCATTGAGGTTTTGATTTGGAGGGAAAGAGGGAATCTTAAGCAGACTCCACACTGAGCGCAGAGCCTGACATGGGGCTCGATCTCATGACCCTGAGATCATGACCTGAGCCGAAACAAAACTCAGACGTTTAACTGACTGAGCCACCCAGGTGCCCCACAAAACACATTTTAAAATGGTGAAATACAGGGGTGGCTGGCACAGTCGGTTAAGTGTCAACTCTTGGTTTCAGCTCTCTGCTCCCCTTTAAAAAAAAAATAAAATGTGTTTTGTTTCACTTATTTCCCGTTTCACAAACTTCTAGTTATAAAATAAATAAGTCATGGAAATGAAAAGTACAGCTTGGGGAAGTACAGTCAGTAATTCTGGAATCATGTTGTGTGATGACAGATTCCTAGGACTGTACTCACCGTGGGGAGCACTGAGTAATGTACAGAGCTGTCCGATCACTGTGTTGTAAGCCTGAAGCTGATTTAATAACATTGTATGTCAACTGTACTTGAGTATTAAGAGATAAACATGAAATGGACCTATAAAAATGCTTTGTTTTATATGCTTTATGAGTACATTAAGTAATTACATACTGCGGTACATGCTCAAACATTTTTACTGGTAAGACTACAAATATCAAAAATGCTTGAAGACTTAGGATATGCAGGTGTTTATTACCCTCATCTCTCAGTTTTCTGTAGGTTTGAAGTGTTTCAAAATAAAAGTTGGAGGGGAAAAAAAAACATTAAAGAGCAAAAAGAAAAGTTTAAAAGCCCCTAAACCTGTCGAATCGAACTGGGTGGTGTACCTGAGGCGGTTGGCATTTCCATCAGGCCTCTCTGGGGGTTTCGATGCTCAGGGCCGCAGGGAGATGATGCCATGTGTTCTGTGGTTATTTCCAGAATGTGTACCTTCCCCCTACCGCACCCATTGTCTTCTGCATCACTGTTTACTGAGCAGGGACTGGAGGCCAGACATGATTCTAGGGACTGGGACCGTAAGGGAAAGGCGGGAGGAGAGGCCACTCTGAGGCAGCCTTGCAGTTGGTCATGGTGGCATCTGACACGCTTGTTCTGTTTACCTGTTATCTTCCTTGATGTTTCCTTGTCAGGATTACGAAGAAGCTGTGCTCTTACTATTAGAAGGAGCTGCCTGGGAAGAAGCTCTGAGACTGGTAGGAGAACTTTTAAAATCCTGCCTGTGTTAGGTGCTCAGCAGAGCGAGAGTGCAGGGGGGACAGGGTCAACGGGAATCCCTTGTCTTCTGAGGCTAGCGAAACCAAGTCAAAATAGTTTAGGTTCCTGGCCTAAGGATAAGCAGTATTTTTAAAACCATTTAAAAAATTTACTCTTGATGTTTGGAATTAGTCCGTTTTGTAAATGTGAAATATTACTGGTTTTAACTGAAATGAGTTGAATGTTCATTAGCTTGTAGAGGCCTCCTCTTGAAAATAACCTGGTGACCTCTGAAAGTCATCCATTTCCTTCCAAGTGTCTTAATTCTACAGTGACTTGCAGTTTTCTTGCCTAAAATTACTGTCTTTTTCCTTTTAGGTATACAAATATAACAGACCAGATATAATAGAAACCAACATAAAGCCTTCCATTTTAGAAGGTAAGGGTTACATCTCAGAATTCTACATTTGGAAGTGTAGAGGTGGGGAAGCGAGAGAGAAGAATACTCCCTGTTATTACATCCTTGAATCATGTGTTACATAGAGTTGATCAGAGTTCTTCACTGAGTGTAATACTTAATTCTGACCAGGATTTTTTGAATATGCTAAACTGTCAAATGGTAGTATATAAAATACTTGAATGTTAAAAATACGTGATAAGATATGGTTAAGAATCTTTATATTTGTAGGGGTGCCTGCCTGGGTGGCTCAGTTGGTTAAGCGTCTGCCTTCGGCTCAGGTCATGATCTCAGGGTTCTGGGATTGAGCCTAGCATTGGGCTCCCAGCTCAGCGGGGAGTTTGCTTCTCCCTCTCCTGCTCCCCATGCTTGTGTGCACTCTCTCTCTCTCTCTCTCTCTCTCTGTGTCAAATAAATAAAATCTTTTAAAAAAAAAACTGTATTTGGGAGTAGTTGGTAAACTTGAATATGAACTAGGTGTTAAATAATACAGTATTTTGTCAGTGGCCGATTTCTTGCATTTAATAGTTGTATTGTGCTTATGTTAGATAATGTCCTATTCTTTTTTTTTTTTTGAAGATTTATTTATTTATTAGAGAGTCTGGAAAGGGGCAGAGGGAGAAAATCTTAAGCAGGCTCACTGCTGAGTGCAGAGCCTGACACGGAGCTCGATCCCACAACCCATGAGATCATAATAATGTCCTTACTCTTTTTTTTTTTTTTAAGATTTCATTTATTTATTTGACAGAGAGAGACATGGTGAGAGAGGGAACAGAAGCAGGGGGAGTGGGAGAGGAAGAAGCAAGCTTCCCTCAGAGCAGGGACCCCGATGTGGGGCTCAATCCCAGGACCCTGGGACCACGACCTGAGCCACCCAGGCGCCCCTATGTCCTTATTCTTAAGAGAGATGTTCTGAAGTATTTAAGAGGGAAGGATCATATCTGCAACCTACTCTCAAAAGCTTCCACAAAATAATAGTTGTGTGTATGGAGAGAAACAGGAAGCAAAATGTTTACAGTTGGTAAATCTAAGTGGAGGGTATATTTTTATATTGAACCAGGTGAGTTTTACCAGTTCTGGAACACTTGGGTGATAACTATGACTCCTTAAAAGCAAAGTGGAAGAGAAGGACATCAGTTTGGCTTACAGAGATTTCCAGCAGTGGGGGGTTGGTTTTAAGCTCTGCCTTTTTTAGCACAGTCTACCCTGTGAGTAGGATCTGGCCTTTGTGATGTGTACATGTACTCACATGCTTACCCTGCCTGCATCCCCCTCCCCCATCCTCATTAACACCATGGGAGGATTCTTTTCATATCATTCACCTAGGTACCCTTAACTGGTTACTAAAAACATCCATCCTGACCCTCTAGGCATCCATCTAGCCGTCTCTTGCTTGGATTTTCTCCCCTAATGAGCACCTAGAAAAATGCTGACTGTTCATCTACATAGGCCTAATACCTATGTTTCAGAAGCATCTCAGTGACTGTCCTGTTTTTGTTAGCAGCTTCCTTGTATACTCCTTTTCTTTGCTGGTCTGCTCTTGGGTACCTAGTCTTTGTTCAGGTGATGTTACTAATTTAGTGCTAGAGAATGTTCTAGGATGATGTTAATGCACTCTGAAATCTGAAATCTCAACATGTAGTTCGTTCTCTTAAAACAATGTAGGTTAATTCTCATTAAGGAAAAAAATCTTGCTTGGAAAACCTAGTAACCTGTTTCTTTTTGTTAAATTCTTACTCCCTCACTGCCTTTATCGAGTTTTTCTCTTTACTTAAACATCTTGCTCAAATTATTTTCCATCCTCCAGCCCAGAAGAATTATATGGCACTTCTGGACTCTCAGACAGCCACATTCAGTCGCCATAAAAAGCGTTTATTGGTGGTTCGAGAGCTCAAGGAGCAGGCACAGCAGGTGAATCTGGGTGAGTGTCTGCATGAAGACATGGACGCTTGGGCATGGTGGGGACACATCACACTTTGTCTTAGCTGCTTATTGTGCCTCCTGCACTGTGATTACCATGCTGGGGGACATCTAAGGCCTCTGTGAAACCCCTTAGGGGCTGTGTATGTCTGTGTTTGTGCGTGTTGGGGAGGGCTAGGGGCAGGACCAAGCATGAATGGGAAGAGCTCTGCCACACATTCCCTGCACCCCCACCAAGCAGAGCAAAATGAGCCTCCTTGCCTCCAAAGGTTCCTTTGCTTTCAGAAAGGAGAGAAAAGAAAAAAATAAGCTTGGTACTGGTGCGCTGGTGTATGGTAGGAATAACTATATTTAATATTATCTCATTTCACTTTGAGCTCTACTTTATAATAACTTTCATCCATCGTCAGATATGCCCTGGTTAACTCTAGTCCACTTACCCTACCGAAGGTAAACCTACATCAGCAGGGAGTTTTCATTCTGTGTCTGGTTCTTCTTTTCTAGATGATGAGGTGCCCCAGGGTCAAGAGTCAGACCTCTTCTCTGAAACTAGCAGTGTCATGAGCGACAAATATTCCCATAGCAACTCCAGGATATCAGCGTATGTATCATGTTTATTCAGCACATTGGCCAGGCCCTGGGCATATGGAGAAAGTGCAAGTAAGGGGGTCAGTTTCTCATCAGGACAGTGCAGGGGAGAGAGAGAACAGAGCTCAAGGCCAGGATTTGGTGTGCAAGGGCTTTCCCCACGTATCTAAGAAATTAGACTTGGTGTTGAAATGTTTTTCTGCTGCAGCTTCGTGGACTGTGTGTTTGTGCCCACGAGGCCCATACACTGGTACTCAATTTTTATGACATCTGATTTTATTCATTTAACAAATATTAGGTGACTGGATTGTATGGGTGCTGAAAAAATTAAAAGATTATAAAAAAAGTATCAGGCATCTTCAGTTCAAAGTCAGGATTAGAAGAGGCTATTAACGTAAAACAAGTCATCATGCTTACACAGTGTAGCATTTGGTCACAACACCCATATGCTAGTTGTAGTGGATGTTACCAAAAACTTTTAAGGAGATGTGAGTTATAAGAGCCTATAGTCATCCTTGGGAAGCATAAAACAATGCAAGATTGTGTATTTAAACTAAATCGTGACGGGATGCCTGGGTGGCTCAGTCAGTTAAGCATCTGCCTTCAGCTTGGGTCATGATCCCCGAGTCCTGGGATCAAGCCCCGCATCGGGCTCCCTGCTTCTCCATCTCCCATTGCCTGCCGTCCCCCCTACTTGTGTGTGTCTGTGCATGCTCGCTCTCTCTGAAAAATAAAATCTTTTTTTTTTTAAATCTTT